TATTTTTTGTGTTGAGCGATTATTCTGGGTTTTTACGATTTTTTTTTTGGCATTGAACACACGATGAATAAGTGTATTAGATATATGTTGTGAAAAAAGTCCAATTAGCCCTGGGGTTGAATATCGAAAGGGGGGATGCCCTGTCCACAAGTACATTTGGTTTTCCTATGCGGGAAAATACATAAAAATTAAGTTTAGAAGACAATACAAATAAATATATATACTCATGATATAAGTAATTTTTTTAATATCTAAGAAGCTATAATATAGATTGAAGTATATTTTTCTGATCAAAAATCCAATAATTATTAAAATTTCCTTCTAATATATATAACACTCTTTCTTACATTGTAATATAATTAAATGACCCATTAGTTATAATTATTTTAAACGATTTCTTCATAGTAAAAACATAATAAAGGGGAGTAATCAAATGTTGAACCCGCTTTTGATTGGCTAGTTTGGATCTTGAATTTCGAATCTCGAATTTCGAATCTCGAATTTCGAATCTCGTACTTTGAAACTCGCTTCTGATTGGTTAGTTTGGATCTTGAATCTCGAAACTCGAATTTCGAATCTCGAATTTCGAATCTCGTACTTTGAAACTCGAATCTCGAATGAGCCTTCTGGGCTTTCGTATTCTATGGCAATCACAACGCTCTGAAGAACATATTTTCTAAAAGACCGTGCCATATTTTGTAAATGTCTAGTTTCCAACATGCATTGAAATTTTTTTTAAAAATGTCCTTTTATGTCCATTAATTCGTTAATTTTTAACACGTTGACCGTTTTCAAATGAAAGAAATTACAGTGGCTGCAACGTTATTGTTGACAACTTACACGAACGATCACGTTACACGAACGATTCCGCACGATTAACGCACAATTAAATCTGTTACACGAACGATCTTTCACGTTCACGATTCTACACGTTACACGATCTTACACGGTTGCTAATGCAAACGCACGATTCTTCATTTAAAATAGTTCAAAATATTTAGGAATCAATATTTTCAAAACGATATACGGCTTAATACTAAGTCAAGATTTCAAAGAATTATCAATATTATTTCATAGACTTGGAAAAAAACCGGAAATTGATATTTCTGTAGCTAAATATATGTAAGACTTAATATTAGATTATAAATAATTATTTCTAAGGTAATTCTCCGACCTAAGAAAACGGATTTTGTTCGCTCTATCAGAAGATGTACATCGTATAATGTCGTATAATTTGACTGAATTGGATTTCATGATATGCAGAAAGGGGGATACGATTGAATAAAAATGGCAGCATGGAATGACTTAAGTTATGATTACAAATCTTATCCGTATGCTTCCATTGATTCAATGTCTGCGAATCTCTAAAAATAAACTTGCCAATTATTCAACTTTTTTATTTGCAGAAATTTAAAATTAATTAATTAAAAATAAACTCAAGAGATAAACACAGATAATGAAAACCCCGAAAATCATGTTGTGTGCATGTATATTCGTCGACTAAATAGTTATGTAAGCATTGAGAAATGTTTATTTATTTGTAAAAAAAAATATTTATTTTCGATGCATTAATTTCAAGATTATCCTGACCACAATAAGAAGTAAATAATAATGAAAATCAGCGTTAAATATCTAAGTACGGTTTATCACAATATTGATCGCGGTATTTGACGAGAACTTTATATTGTACGACTTACTATATTGCTTATTTACGTGCGATAATTAGTTCGTTCTGCATTCTATTATGTTGCGCTTCATTCATTGTATTTGGATTTAAATAAATAAATTAAGAAAAACAAACAAGGGAAATGCTTATTTTACAAATAACATTCCGATAAAAACTTACAAAACGAAATTTACACGATTCTAAACGCACGATCTCGCACGATTAAAAAAGCACACGATTGAGTCTGATATATACACGATCTCGCACGTTACACGAACGATCACGCACGATACACGAACGATTCTACACGATTGGTTTGTCAACAATAACGTTGCAGCCACTGTACATAAAATATTGATATAATGTAAAATTAGAGATTAAAAACACTGTCTGGTGATCGAATCGTGAAAAGCAGAAATATATAGCAATAGGTCTCTGATTACAGCAGAGGTGAGATCTTGTTTCGAGAAGTAGTAAGCAACACCTGTATAAGACAAAGCCATAGAAAAAGGCATTTTCATATTTCTGGTATTTAAAGGTTTTGAGACTTTTAATCTTCAATCAGAATTTTGTTTAAAAGTCCATATTCGATATACACCACTTCTTGAATATATTGTAGCATAATTGAAAGGAAATATTTACTAACTGTTGATAGTTTTCCTTGGATATATTTTCTAATTAAGAATTTGGAAATTAACCTTCTCTTTGAAAAAAAATTGAATATGCAGGTAAATTTAAATATTTTTTTCATCTATTTCCAATACATATCAATATCTATATTAATTTTAACTATTAGATTTGCTAGACGAATTCATACATTGATATTATTTCAATTGAATCGGGTATAAATCCTAATACATTGATGGTAAAAATTATTACTCAGCAATATATTTGTTATATAAATAAAACTATGGATGACCATCTTTTATTTTCTTAATTCTTGCATTAGTTAATAAAACTTATAATCAAATCACTTTAAATTCTACACGCTTGTGAACATACCCACACAAACGACAAACACACAAACCAATCACGATGTAATTTTATTTATGTACTAGTTTTTAACAATTTTGACTTCTGATTCCTCTCTTGTCGTCAAGTTTATCTGTATACCTTTGGCCATGACTACTCTGTATCTAAAATAAAACATTATTCTATTTGTTTAGAAAGATTTATATTTAGAATAGCAATCATTTTTTATTCGTGTTTTACAACAAACTTTTCACTTACGTGTTTTCTTCGATTGTAACAATAACAGTAGAATTAGGATTTCGTTTATAACATCTGTTAATTTTATCATTTATTTTTCTTGGATACACGTTCCACTGGCCTTGTTTATCTTTCCAATGCCACTGATCTAATGCAGAAAAAGATAATGAATCTAAACTTCCATCAGGTTCTACATCAGTTGATTTGTCGTCAACTTTTTCGTTTTTGAAATATTTCCCTTTAGGCAATGTCAAGAGAGAAAGTCCAGCACTGGCATTTTTGCAAATCTTGCTGGATTTAATATCAATATCGTTTTCAGATGCACACGCTTCTATGTGAAACAAAAAGAAGTCTCAGTCATATATTTTTAAAAGAATTATATGTCTGTTTAATTTAAATAAAAGTACATGTATATAAGATAAGAATTCTTGAGAAGCGTACCATTTGACGGAGAACTTTCAGAAAGTTTCACAGATGACTCATTAAGTTCTGCCTTTCTGATTTGTTCTTGGAGATACTCAACAGCTTCCGGTGAGAAAGGATCGCTGTTTAAATAATGGTACTCACCAATTATGATTTTATACATTTATAGAACATAACTTATAAAGGATAAATCAAATTATTTGTAAATCCTGAGTTGGAAAAGTTTTAGCGTAATAAATCACTTTGAGATATATAATAATTAAAATAAAATAAGGAGTATAGCTTTTGAAGCTGTTAGTAAAAAGTAGTGATGTCAATTGATACAATGGGCCTTTATCGCTGAATACAACTGGACATGACAGAATAATATGCAATGTATTGGAAACGGATATTTACCAAACCTGTAGATCATATTTCCCACGATATCCAAATCTGTTTTCTGTTGTTTGGCCGTTTTGCCATCGTACCTGTAAGAAGACAAAATCGTTATTTGTGTGAGTAAGATTTGAAATTACTTTGTCAGACTTCTTTCATTTGTAATGTGAAATGGATGGATCCGACTTTGACAGAAAAATGTTAAGTAAACCTGTGTTTTTTGAAAATTCGACATACATGTTCAGTATAATAAATATGAATTTTAATTTTGCAAAAATTTGACCATAATTATAATTTGAATAAATTCAAAATGTTATTTAAAAAAACCGACGGAAGAGAGTGAAATATTAACAATCTTACGAACTCACAAGCACGATTCCATTGTGTTTACGTCTGTAAACTGATCCTATACTCAGGTTACTCTTTTCCTGGTATCTCCAATCCCAGTCTGGGCCTGGTTAAAATTCACATTCTTATAATTATTTCTAAGCAATCACCCATCTTAAGACTGAGCAATGCCTTACCTAGTTGAGCTAGCTAATCTAGTCCAGACAAGTTCTGGCACTACTGCTGGTGCAGCGTTAGCCTTCCTAGCTCGTATATAGAAGACATTGTGCATCAAATTTTATGCTTTTTAGAAACTGATTGTTTTATCATTGTTACCTTTTTTGACGAGAGAACCAACAGCAATAGTTTCTTTGTATAAAATTCTAGGTTCGTTACATAAATTTACATCATATTTATCTATTATAGGTCCGTATCTGTATGGATATCTCGAGCCAGTGTCCCATTCTACATTTAACCAGCCAACTAAAAGAGAACATCAGACATCTCTTAGAAGAGATATGTTTTGATATTTTCAGAGTGGAGGAACCTTATAATAAAAAAGAAGGAAATTTTATTTAACCCGATGATTTACTACATTATTTTACAGTATTTTGAATTGTCAAGTCGTTTAAACATCTTAAATGAAACTACCATTGAGTAATTTCATTAAATTTTTATTGAGATTTACTTTTTTCTGAGTGTCCAATAACCGTTCCTGGCCCATTGTTATCCTGATTATTACATTCCCAATCACGTCCACGCTTGACTCTGCTCCCCAAAGGAAGCATTGCTGGATCTCTTTCTTGGAATATGTAATTCATTTCATCATCAAGTTCTGTACATATTTCATCCCATGATTTGCAAAGTGACTTCTTTGAACATATTTTAACTATATCTTTCTAAAAAATTATATTTAAGACATTTTAAGGTAGTCCGATTCTCAGGTTTATAGAATTAGCAGTTAAGTAATCAAAATACCCATAAAAGTATCTCTGAATACACAAAGTTGTATAAATTTATCCACAGTATATCTTTAAAGTAAAAGATTAAAAGTGATCATATTACATAGGGAAAATTGTCAAATCTCCTATATTTTTGCAGAAAAAGCGAACTGGAATATATGCATTTTCTAATTGCAAATTTATCAACAAATGTATTTTAGGTTAAAAAACGATAGGTATCCAGGCATTCAGAGAAATTGTCATGATTTTTATACTTATTTTGTATTTTTTGTCTTCTATTTCCGTCATGTATTCTATAATACATAGTGTGAAAGGCTTTTGCTTTCATTGCAAGACACGACAAATCATTTCTAATTTCATATCATGCTATTAACATTGGTATCAAAGGCTGGATTCAAGAAAATCTTATTTCTCTAAAACTGTATTATTTTTTTTTTCCTTTTAAAGAGTACAAAAGTCAGCTTTTATAAGACCTTTTCTAAGACTTCCAAAAAACCTTGAATCTAATAAAGATGAATAAAATGAAAATTGTTGCATGAAAAAATTTCATTTTCAAGCTTCATTTTGAGGCATTTCAAATTAAATGTTAATTTTTGGAGTTATCCTTCCTGGCTGAGGATCGAATATCCTTAAGGGTATTAACTTGTATTTGAGTTTGAAATTTAAAAAAAAGCTAAAGAAAAGCTCACTTGCTTTGAGCTCAGATGAGCTAAATACATGATTTATCAGGACTTATGAAAATATTTGAAAGTTAACAATAATCCATATTTTAATTTAGTTTTGTACATGCATGGTTAATCTTTTTAATTTCCATTTTACCTGATCAATTTCTGTAAACTCTCTTTCAGGAAATTTGCAAGCCAGCAATGTCAGAATCATTTCGCGGTCAAAACCATCATTTTTCATTGTAAACGATAACATAGAAGCAGTTTTCTAGAACAAAAATTTGATTCAAATAAATACATATACATGTACATGTTTCAGAAAAGAAAATCAATTAAAGAAACTTCCAAAATTTATTTTGGCTTTTTAACTTACAATATTTTCAAAATACTTTGCTAACTGTCTTGCTTCCTTAGGATATACAATCTTCCCTCCCCTGGATTGAGCAGACATGAAATCTAGAGTTATCTACGAATATATAGATCAAATTAACTCTAATTGCTCTATATTATGTAACGTCTAATTAAATTTTAAAGGTTTTTACAGAACATGAAAATATACAAGCTTACGTAAACTTTCATAACCATAAGTATAAATGAATGACAAATACCAGATCAGGACTTCTCCCCACAGGGATGCAAAAGATAGGATTTACTTTTCCAATACCTCTCGTATAATCAAGCATCTGAGTCTTATCCTGAAAAAGTTTACAGAATGACAATCGACGCTTTATTAAAACCAGTATGATATACAATAAACAACGACGCTTCCTATTTTGTATTGTTTTATGGACTTCTGATCTCGAGTACATATGGAGATAACGAACAGTGCTCCTTGGCATGATCGGGAAATAACGGAAAATCCGTCGATAATTTAATTTGTACATTATGGCCTAAAATTTGGTATAAAGAAGTCAGTCATGACTTAATGAAAAATTGTAGTTAGTGACAATGTCATTGTATCAACCATAGAACTTACGATATGATGACTTAAAATGAGACTGTTGATATTCGTCTCAGCAGTTTGTTTGACAATTGGTAATTCACCTCGTTTTAGAAATTATAGGACTACCTCTTCAGTTTCATAAGCCGATGAATCTTCAACGTCACCAGTAGCACTAAAATCAGTTGGTCTACCGTCCGAAATAAGAATTATTCTTGGATGAACATGAAAGTCTCCTATTCTTTTGGTATGTCCTATTTAAGAATGGTTCAAGAGGTTTTATTATAAAAGTTAACGAGAATATGATGCAGTGTGTTGCGAAGCATTTTTTGAGTCGATCATTCTTTATTTGTTTTGCACATTATGCTAGATTATCCGTCAATTTATTTTATTTCAGAAAGGAAGAACGCCTTTCGATATTAAGAGCCATTCTCTGTAATGATTTGAAATTTTATATAGGAGCTGTGGCACGCATAGTCTCAGAATTTCTCCAAACTCTCTATGATGAATGTCATTGATACCCTAAACTGAAATCAGGCAAAAATTGGTTGCTATGTTTTATAGTTACCATGGCAACATGTCTTAAAGTTCGAAAAATGGCATTTTTAAACATGTTTAGAGCACCATAGTTAACATTTTCGGCAAAGCAAACAATTGTCAATGACTGTTTCCAAAAGTTGAAGGTCAGATGTCTCAAATGCATGATAAACATGTTTGGTAAATCAACTATTACATACGTTACTATGGTAACAAAGTATTCAAAAGTAAAAAAAATATTCATTGAATTTTATTAAGTTATACACGTAAAAATAAAAAGCAATTATAGGATGAAATGTGACCAAATAATAGAAAAAGAGCCTTGAAACACATACCAAGAAAAAAATATGATATTTCATTTTGGTTGCCAAGGTTTTTATACCACAGAGAGCCTTCAAAGTAACACTATGTATGTTTAAATCTGATCCTATCTTTAAAAAAAAGCTCATTTCCTCATAACTAATGACCAATTTCATAAGATGTTGGTGTGCTCCAAATTTTCCCATTTGAAAAAATTCAGATTAGATTCTTTAAATAGAGCGTTGCTATGGAAATAAGCAGAAAATATATGCTTAAAAACCTGAAAAATATTTTGTTTCCTTGGATACGTACCCTTAAATGTAGATTCCCAAAACTTTTATGATTGATATTTATTAACAGCTAGTTTGACTTTTAATTTTGACTATCATCCAATCTCTAAGTGGATGCAAGAAGTTGGCACACAGGGTTTAATATTGATATAAAGTTCTCAAAATCGAACATTTTCCCTTCTTGGTAACCATAGCAACAGTGTTGTTTTATTCATCAAATTTTATCAATATATGATATTCAACTTCAGTTCTAACAGATAAGTACTATTCAAGCTGAGTCCTTTAATTTGTTTCTTGATTATATGGCAATTTAATTCTTAATGCAGCGGAAAATAATTCACTTTTAAGCACTGGTACTTTGTTTCCATGGTAACACTACAAAGTAGCAATTATACTCAATTTTTCTTATGGTTTTGGTGTTGCAATGTCCTAAGGATGCATATTTGCCAGTCTTGAATTTTCATGTTTTTCCTCAAGACAGTAGCATTAACCCAATCTTAGTTACTGGTTTTGCATGGTTACACTGTGTTACCATGGCAACCATTGAAGTTATTTATAGAATAATATTGCTTATACTTATATACTTAAGGTCAATCATTTTCATTGTTTTTCTTAAGTCGTTGATTGAGTTCGAGCATATAACACCTACCATTAGTGAATACTGAGCGTTTTTCAGCATATTTCAGCATTTCAAATGTATTCCAAATGTACCCTTGGTTACCACTTACTTAGAGATATATTCTAAACAGTTTCTTTACAGTATAAAAGACATCAAGGTGTCATATTTTTGTGAGAATGGTTTGTTTGCTTTTTCTAGTTTTTATTAAGCCACAGTCAAGATTTAAAGTGGCTGAAAATCTCGATTTTTCAAACTTTTCCGGCTGTTGCCATAGCAACCGAGACACGTAGCAACGAAATTTTGTTTGATATTTGTTTCTGGTGTCAAGTACTAAGCATGGGTGAAGTTTCATCAAAATCGGTGACCATGCGTGGCAACGAAGTTTAAGTGGTTACAGAGAATGGCTATTAATTATCATAATTAACAAGCACTTGTATATTAAGGCAACGTTTTGTTTATATAGTCGCAATAATGATTTTCAAAGATTGTTCGATCTAAATCCTTGGTTTGCAAAGAAACAACACATTTGTTAAAATATCGGACGCAATATTTTGTGAATAGTTAAATGATATGATACTTATTCTAAGAAATGTTAATAGTAACAATTTCAACTTACCTACTTCACGTCTTAAGCATGCTGTGGCTAAGATGAACGCTGCTGTCAGTGGTGTTGGTCCTCCAAATTCAACGTCATCTAAACATGAAGCTAAATATTATTCAAAGTATTGAATTCGAGTATGGGCTAGATAGTCAATTGTATGAGATAAAGTGTTAAATATATATGTTCATTTTACCATTTTAGATTTTAAAAGTAGGATTGAGAGTATTAGGAGAGAATATGATTTTTTAAAGAATAATCTATACTTATTTTAAAATCCTGTTGAAAAATTATTATGATACTTAGGCAATGTTTTATATCCATGTATTGATTTGAATAATAGCGTTGAAATCTTGTGTGTTTTCCACATAATATAACAGCTACATTTTCATCGATGTCTGGATGGTTTGTGCATTCTAAAAAAATCTTTCAGAGTTATTACAGTAAGCAATCAATAATTAAATATTATTCTTAATTTTTCATTTTTTTAGAACAAAAATTATTAGTATTATTATTAAGTAAACATTTCCCATTTAAGTAGAACTGATAGGCAAATCATATACTAGTGAACGAAAGCCCCAAAACACCTTCGACATTCGAAGCTCAAGCATACGATTAGCAGGTTATTTTATTATTATTAAAAAAATATTATAACACATATTTACCCTTCAGCATTTTGCTGTTTTTAAATGTCTACGCGAACAATACACAATATCAAGAGTCATAAAAAGGGGCATATAGATATATATTGTAATTGATTATCTTAATCCTATAGGGAGTGCCCATACCTGACTTGGAGTTTAAGCCCGTTTTTTTCTTTTTTAAATAGTTTTACTTTGTCTCGATAATGGATAAAGTCGTCCCTAACTTTGAGCTTAACTTTCACCTCTTCAATGTTTTAATTAGCTGACGACCATAATTTAGGAGATAATATACATACAGCATAATAGCATACGGAGTTAAAAATATCTATACCATCAATAATGGTGCTAAATGTCTCTTTCATTTGTTGAAAACCTTCCTCTCCAAGACTTAGAGATGTATCTAATATAAATATACTGCAAGGACCTCTTCCATATTGATGGCGAACTTCATGATCTTGAAAAGGTTAAGAATGCATCTCTAATTTACCAAAGTTCTCGCAAAAACGTTTGCAAAACAAAGTCAAAAGATAAGTTTAATATTACCGATCTACATAAATATGAGGGTGCATGGTTTTTGATGTGTGTATAAAAGTAAACATACCTCTTTCTAAATATACCCATTAAGCAGTTAGAGGGTATTAAAATCTTATCTTTTCATGGTATGTATGTTTTTCTACATGCTCTCTTTTAAGATAACTTGCTTTTTAGCATTTGTTCATAGAAGCGATTATTAAAAATGCATACTCTTTGAAGCCTCAAAACCAGCTTGTTCTTCCCAAAACTCTTGTGCTTTTCTGAATCCGAAAGCCATCTACCTACCCAAGGTGGGAAAAGGAACAGTCAATCATTGATGTCAACATGGTATTATGGAATATGAGATATGGATTAGGAATATTCTAGTAAGAAGATAATGTTTTTGCAGCCCGAAGGACCAGGCTGCTCTATAATTAATTATAAGTTCGGTTCTTTCTGATGAAAATTACGAAGAACACAATAAAGTACATTTTTAAGATAGTATATGATTTTCATGTTATATAAAAAGTTGCTTATCATCTTGTATCGACAAAACGTAAGATCCGCCATTTCTAGAACATTAAATTTTACTTATAGTATAAAAACATAAGTTACAAAGTTTATGTTGATATTCTTTAAGTCAAATGTATATTGAATAATAGGTGATTTGTGATTATAATTTATATTTTACGCAGCCAATCGTTATTTGAGGAAATGATAACTTTTAAAACGGTATCATATTTTTTTCCGATTTTAATCTGATTAGAAGCTTTTCCCGTAGAAATATAAGAATATAACAATGCTGAATTAAATATATCCTCAAAAATTGAAGGCAATGCAAATAAAATAATTCCTGATTTGATTCCAAATCAATTATCTCTATTTTGTTAGAAAAGTTCATACTTGGATAAAAGTTTAGCTAAAATTGGCCTTTTACTTTTACTATTTTCTGCTTCCAGGTCCAATCATCACTGATTTAGTGCAATTTTTGGTTCATCAGATGTATGACTTTCCGACGAAAACTAGATACTGTTTTCGAAACATTGCAAACATGCAAAAATCCTGGACCCCCTTCCCCCAAATCCACCTGTAACTGTCTATTCTTTACACAGAGAACTTTGTTATTTCACATCTTTAAACACAATCATGGCTACTCACAAAATTGTTGTGCATCCCTAGCTTACCTTCGACTGTCCATTCTGTAAACAATGAACTTGACAAAATCAATTCATAAAAGTGATACACCCCCCTCCTTTTCCCCCTTTTTCATTTTTAAACTTCGTTTCTCATAAGAAAGGAAATAATGTTTTATGTAGGAGAAAGTCCTTAATCTGTCCATTCTGTGAGAGAAAGAACACATTTCGGTTCTAAGATCCTCGATTAGTTCTTTCTCTCATAGAATGGGCAGTTTTCGACCTTTCACTTTACATGTACATTAATTGGATAGAACAAGCTGAAGGTGAAATCACAAAACACGACATGTCTATATCTGAATAATTCAAAATTAACTTACCAAGAGAATGGTTTGTATTCTTGCGTTGCAAATCACGTTTCCTCGTTTTGTTTTCCTGTTTAAATTTATAATTAAAACAGACTGTATAATATTTGATACAATATGATATTTGAAAACATTTTTGTTAATTATAAAAAAGGAAATCAAAAACAGTTGTTTGGAAATAAAAATATAATAGCAAAAAGAAAAATGAATGTCATGTATGAAAATTAACATTATTTCGATTTGAATTGACAGGACTTTCGGAATTGATATAATTGAAATCTGAATTCTTCACAAGGTATGATTAACAAACATAATAGGACAAACATCAATACAGAGGTATTTTATACATACCTGTACATTCAAAAATAGTAAAATCGCTATGGTACAGCATTTAGATAGATAAATTTGATGACTTTAACTTTTCAACTTCCCTTACCTATGCAGCAATTTACCTTCATCACCTGCATACGGAGTATAAATATCTCAGTTGATTCGTTAGGCAAGAGCATGCTCTACGTATGAACAAATTCTAAAACGAGGTGAATTATTGACAAGCAAGTTGATGAAACAAGAATATCAGCAGTCTCGTTTAAAGTCATCATTTCGTAAGTTATATGGTCGACACAATGACCTTGTCAGCAAATACAATTTATCATTGAGTCAAATGCTGACTGACGTTTTTCATACCAATTCTTAGTCCATTTTTTTAATACACTGAATTGACGACGAATTTTTCCGTCATTTCCTGATCATGACATGGAGCACACGGCGGGTGTAACTGGCCGGTCAGCAGGGGATGCTCACTCCTCCCTGGCACCTGATCCCACCTCTGATGTTTCGGAAGTCCGTGTTTACTCTGCTCCTATTTTGTATTTTTTATGGACTTTGAGATTGAACATTGTTTGTTATCTCTACATTCCTTCTTCAAAGTATAAATTGAAAGATTTTGAATTACCGTATAAGAGGAGGTCCTGTGTTACAGTAGGTGCTGGCATGAAAAAGACCCTTCACTGCTCAATGGCCCTTAGTGCAAGTATAGTACAAAATTTGAAGCTCCCCATCGGCAAATGATGGCGTCTCCGAAAGAGTGAAAAATTCTCGAGAGTAAACATTTATTCAAGTATTTATATGCAAATATAGTTGAGTAATCTATTTCTAGTTAATTGGGTGGGTGTACATTCGAAACACATGTTTTGGTTCATGGTTGTAATATGTATCCCTCGATACTACTTATCCCTCTATATCCTATATGAGCCCTATAGTGACCAATCTGTCAATTCGTCTGTACGTGCCAATATCTCCATGTCCGTAATATACTTTACAAATGCAGCATATGTTTATTGCATAATAAATGTTAACGATAATCCATGACCAAATTTGCAGGCGTAAGGTCAAAGTTATAAAACATTTCTACGTAAAATCTTTGAAGTGAGCACAATATTTCCTTTTCAATCTGGTTCAGTGGATTCGAAGAGTAATCGAATGTGAGGTCAACGATCCTGAAATACATTTTCGGGTCGAAGTTTAGTATAGAATGACAAAATGATATATCAAAAAGATAAAATGAATAATTTTCTAGAAAATGATAGCGTAAACAGTTTCGCTTTTTTTTTTAAATTTACATAGGTAATCTAGAAAATTTTATTTTTTGACATTCTTTTTCCTTCCCTTTATGTTTGTTTATTCGTTAATTCAACAATTTCATCGTTGTCATATAAAAGAAAATGCATAAAATTTTGATATCATATTAAATTAGAGACAAAAACACTGAATGAAGATTAATTTACGAATACGATGATTAATTTACCAAAACGAATCGTGAATAAGCGAAATATATAGGGCCCTGATTAACCAGAGATAGAATCAGGTGCTTAGAACATGTAGAAGGGGTACCGCAAGCATCACTACATCTATCAATGAAACATGGGCGCCATAGTCTGATCAGTTGGTAAGAGTAATCAAAAGTTTTAAGGAGAAGACCTTACACATATTTTTTTTTATATTAAAAACCAAGTTAATCACCTCGTGTTCACCTGAATTAACAAAGTCAACAGAAATTGAAATCACTTAATTATAATTTTTTTTTTATAAATATATCAATTTCAATTGAACTTGGTATAAAATTAAAACATTGAAGGTTAATATTATTGCTCATTAATATTGGTATATATGAACCTACGGAAGAAAATAGCAGCTAGCAATTTCTAAATTCTTGCAATAGTGGATAAAAACTTTAACATCCAATCACTTTAGATTATTCATGCACGAAAACACACTACCACAAACGAAAAACACATACACAAACCTATCACGATGAAAAGTAATTTTATTTATGTACTAGCTTTTAACAATTTTCACTTCTGACTCCTCTCTTGTCGTCAAGTTAATCTGTATACCTTTGGTCATGACTACTCTGTATCTAAAATAAAACAATATTTCTATTTGTTAAGAAATATTCTACGATTTATTTTAAAGTCACAATCAAGTGTTTTTTTAATTCCTTTTGTTTTGTAATTTGTTAAGTACAACGTGTTTTTTAACTTTTCACTTACGTGTTTTCTTCGATTGTAACAATAACAGTAGAATTAGGATTTCGCTTATAACATCTGTTAAGTTTGCTGTTAGTTTCTATCGGATATGGGTTCCATCGGCCTTGTTTATCTTTCCATAGCCACTGATCTGATGCATAGAAAGTCAATGACTTTGACATCCTGTCCGTTTCTACATCCATTGAATCGCCTTCGGCTTTTTCGTTTTTAAAATATTTCCCTTTAGGGACTGTTAATAAAGGAAGTCTAGCATTGGAACTTTTCCAAATCTCTCTGTTAGCATTGTTTGAAGATGCACACGATACTAGAAGAAAGAAAAAGAAATTTAAAACTTCAACCAATGAATCTTATAATGCGGAAAATAAGTTAAAAATATTAGATAATAGGGTTGCTTTTAAGAATCAGACCTTAGATGAAGGACTTTCAGAAATATCTACTGAGGAATCTTCGGCTGAGGAATTCAAATCTGTCTTTCGGGCTTGATCCTGGAGGTACTCAACAGCTTCCGGGGAAAATGGGTCGCTACATTAGAACAAAGATGTAATACAATTACTTACATTTAGTGATGTAATTACTGCCTCTATTCCCCAAATTCTTGAAACAATAAAGCCTATCCTATAACTTATATCACAAAGATATTTGATTAGGAAAAAGTTATTATTACATACTTCATAATGTTAACACCCAACAAAAACCCCAATAGGCATGTCACTACTAATGGCATTTTGACTAATTATAAAGTATCATTGCTAAAGAACTAAAAAAGAGTTTTAAATGCTGGAAGCAACATTGTATTAGCTAGGACAATGTAACTGATAATCACCAAATCTGTAACTCATATTTCCCACGATATCCAAATCTGCTTTCAGTTTTTTGGCCGTCATGCCATCTCACCTGTAAAAAAGAAGTCAATTAGAAGATTTTGTCGATTTTGAATCACACGGATGATAATTTCGTCAGTTTCTGAGAAGATATGAATTTTCAAGTATCAGAAAATGCCATAAATTCTTTGATCATTAAATATTTGACGGATTTGTTCAATTGCATTGAACAATTCCATTTCTTTTACATCTGTAAACTGATTATTTATCCTTGGTAATTTTCATATTAAGCTCATCTGAAAATACCATAAATTCTTTGATCATTTACTTTTAGTTCAATAAATATTTGAAGCATTTGTTCTATCACTAGTTTTAATATATAGAAATATTGTTCAACATTATATAACGATCTTCTGATTAAGGATTTTGGAAAACGCACATAAACAATTCCATTTCTTTTACATCTGTAAACTGATCCAATACTTCTGAACCCATCATCCTTGTCTCCACCTTCCCAGTCTGGACCGAGAGTAAAATTCATATATATATATAGTTATGCACTTGTAAGTATTTTGATTAATACCGGTATATTAATTGTTAGCCACTGATCATGCTTAATATTTATTTACCTCTTTTAACAAGACAGCCAGTGGCAATATTGCCTTTTTTCGTAATTCTAGGTTCACTACAAACTATAACATCATATCTACATATATTTCTAAAAGGTGTTTTAGATCTGTATATGTAAGGATGCACCGAACCAGTATCCCATTCTACGTATACACATTTATCTAAAAGAAAATGCAAATTAATTTTTGGAAACTAAATTTAAAAAAGACTGCATGAAGTAAAGTTTTGAAGAGAGTGACAGTTAAAAAAAGATCTATGAAAACAGAAAGGATGTGAATCTGTCTTGGAAGGAGAGTTCCAAGTACAGATTGCTGTGAACAATTGAAGTACCCATTTTGAATGCAATACTTTTACTCTTAGAAAGTATGTTTCCATATTATCAAAACTAAAATATCTTTTATGTATAGTAAGCGAAATACCCTTATTATGCCCTATCACAGTCCCAGGTCCATTATTATCCTGATTATCCCAGACCCAATCAGGTCCACGTTTGACCCTAGATCCCAAAGGCGGCATATTTGGATCTTCCTCTTGATATATGTAATCCATTTCAGCTTCCTGTTCTGCTTCTATTTCTTCCATTGAAATATAGAGTGACTTCTTTGAGCAGATTTCAAATATATCTTTCTAAATAAAATGTCGAGTAAGTTTCATAATTATGCAAATTTTGTACAACGAGGTACAACGAAGAATAAGGGATACTAATAAGTTTGTTCCCTTTTTGGTCCTATTTATAAAATATGCTAAGTTTTTCTTAAATTTCCTTTTTACCTTATCATCTTCTGTAAACTGTCTTCCTGGTAGTTTGCAGGTCAGTAATGTCATAATCATTTCGCAGTCAAAACCATCATTTTTCATCGTATATGATAGCAGCGAAGCAATTTTCTAAATAAAATAGTGTGATAATCCAGTGCTTTATTTTTTTGTGTATCGTAAACATGTATTACACTTCAGTTTGAATATACATGTTTAGTCTTTAAACTAAATACATTACCCATAAAAAAAAATTATAAACAAAATGTCCATAAATTAACACCATAAGACCTTTAAAGGATGTAATTAACTGCAAAAAAGTTAATAAGGTATTTGGGTTTTTTTTCCCAAAAAGTACCAAATTTTCAGAGTATTTTGCAAACTGTCTTGCTTCTTGAGGATACACAATCTTTCCTCCCCTGGACTGAGCACAAATAAATTCTAATGTTACCTATAAATATCAATTAAAAAGGTTAAAAACTTATAAATGAAATCAATATCATTTAAGTCTTATACGATTCAAGTTAAATATATTAAGATAATAAAAATGTTATTAAAAAAGGAAAACAAAAAGATCGTGTAAAATACTAATGCCCCCATATGACAACTAATGGCGAAAGTTTTTGATTCCTAAAATCAAAGTTCAAGCTCCTAAAAGAAGTCTCTCGTCACAAAGAATACACCTATAATATATAAAATCTTATTACCCAAGAATAAAGACGTTCAAATGTATGTCAAATTGAAAGTTATGATCAAAGGGTCAAAATTAAAGGCACCCAAGGGAATATCTTTTCAATTAAAACTCATAAGAGAAAATACAAAAGTCCTTAAATCAACCATAAAATATATATAGCGGAGGATAATTTTTTTTAAGATATTAGCCAAACTCAAGGTCAAATGTTCAAAATTGTTGGTAACCAAAGGAAGTTCTATCCACGAAAAATATAAAAGCCCTAATACCAAAAATTATTTTAAAGACAGATGATACAATTAAAACTCTTATCAGAACTCTCGAATATAACAATGTAAGCCATGTATATTTTATTCAAATGAATAAGTTTAATATAATAGATTTTCATTTTTCATTCAAAATTTCCCAATGAAAGGACTTTTGTACATTTGTATAGATTTATAATGATGGTTGCAGAAAAGTGGGTTTCGAAAAACATAGTTAATTTTCTTAAGGTATCCGATCCATAATAGCTTCCAATTCAATGAATACGAATGCATAACAGATATATATTGTTGAATTCTCAGTATATGTAGATATTATGTTCATGTTTTAGTCTCAATATGTAAGAGCAAAACGTGTCCTAATTTTTATTTACCTTGTTCCGTCTTTGAAGAGTTATCCTCCTTTGCGTTTAATCAATAAAATTCATTTTAAAAAATCTATCTGGTGAAAAAATTATTTTTAAAAACGGTTTTCTATTCTCATATATTAAACTACATCTTTCAACCATAGTATATTTGATATTCATAGTATTTATTTTATAGAACCTGATGAATATGTTCAAAACATTTTCAAAGGACTGAAAAGTCAGAATAGGGGGAGTTTAGCAAGAGCAATAACTCTTATAGAGACTAGCAACCCAAAGAAGAAAGTTCAAGCCAAAGCATTACTGAACCTAACATTTAAAAAAATCTGGTTCCCATTCTTAATTAATTAATCACTGCTCGGGTAACCACATTTTCGAAATTTTCTCCTGGTAAATCGTTTTCTACCCTAAACTGCTTTGGATAAGTTTCAGAGTATTTAATACAGGATGGATATTTAAGGTTAGAATATTATGTCTTTTTATGGGTCGGATACCTTAAAATATTTTACAAAATTATTTTTCTTATCATTTACAATCACAATTTTTCCTAAAATATATACCAATTCAGGCATGCATTTGTATTCCTTTGCATCATTTGCCTTTTAAGTCCAAGATTCAAGATTTTCAAAAGTTTATCACACTAACTTGATGGTGAGAAAATACTGTCAGGTTCAAAATTTTTGACACGCGAAGAAAGGTTTTGTCAATGCAAAAGAAATTTACATTTGAAGTGGGATATATAGTCATACATGTAGCACAAACCCTTCAAATGTTACGGTCAAGGTAAAAAAAATATAATTTTGCAAAGTGGTTCAATTTTCAAGTTAAAGGTAAAGAGGTCAAATAAAATGGTACCCAAGTAAGTCTTGTCACAAGAAATACACATGTATGATATACGAGGGTTGATCCAAAGGTTCGTGAAATTTCTTCAAATTTTATCTTTTTTTCTAGTGAAATTGGTTGAAGATTACAAATGAGAATATAGACACTTTTTGAATATTTTAAATAAAAAACTTTTTAAATACTTATGTTAGTAACTCTAAGGCAGTTGCCATAGAAATGGTTGTTTGGAAATGCTGGGGAGACATTAGCGTGTTCATATTATTTAAATTCTTAATAAGTGAAATGAGAATAAAACATGCCTATGTGGTATATAAAACAAAATTATGTCATTATTACAATTGCTTGATCTTTTATAAATCTATGTGTGAGAGTTTTACTAACTTAAATAGATATTTAGTTTATTAGTTGATGATTTATTGTTCATCTTTCAGTTGTTAGAAGACGTCAAATTTCAGTCAAGTCAAAACAGTTTTGTGAAAATCCCAGAATCACTCTATCAATGCATAAACGCGTATATTATTGACATAGGCTGGGAAAAATGCATTTAATGACTGGTTTTCCAGTGGCATAAGAAATTTAAGAAAAATAGAACTTTCATGGACGTTGATTTACGGCGAGACCGCCTTTTGGAGGCTGTGTTTTAAGTGTGTACCCCCTAGACAAATTAAAAGCGTTTATGGACGTTGTCGGTTGACGTATCGATCATGACATTGCTACTGAAATTGGAACATCATATGGAAACATTAGTATTTTGAAATATGATTGAAAAATGAAAGTAAGTTGGTGCAAAAGGATATCCAGGCTTTTCTTGAGAAAAAAATGGAGAAAAGAGCAGCATTTTAGAATTGCGTATTCGAATTGGACAATAGGGTGAGATGCTTCTTTGACATGTATAACGTGACATGACATATTTAACGACGTAACGTCGAAGTCACCCCCGGGTTTTACAACTATCAATTTTCAGAAAGCTCGTGTGACCTTGTTTGTGATTGGAAAGTTATGAAATTTTTCAATATTGTTGCATAATGACTCTATATTATAAATATTCCTGTTGTTTGATTTCATCGAATCACATTAAAATTTTAGATAGAAATTCCACGAACTTTTGGATCAACCCTCGTATATGCAAGGCATTGGTTAAATTAAAACAAAGCTAGGGAGAAGGTTAATTTTTTCTTTGCAAACAATTAGATAAACAGCCAGGCGAACAGGACAAAAACTAGATGAACAAAACATCCGATTACAGAGCATAAAAAATACCAGATCTGGGTTACTTCCCACCGGTATACAAAAAATTGGATGTACCAGTCCAATGCCTCTTGAAAAATCTAGCACGCGCTGCTTATCCTAAAAATAGGTAGTATATTATACACTTATGAAAGTAAATCAATGAAAATACTTGAGAAATGCAGGGACACAAATTTGAAGTTAATATTTTCTCAGCTTTTTGGTATAATATAACGACTTCTTATATGTTAATTATATGTTTATATAGCAATTTCACACGGAAATATAATAATTAAACACACTTATTGTATCTGGAAATCGTTGAAACCACGAATTTCGGAAGGCCTTTGACTGAAGCATCTTAAAAAGGTTTATTCTTATGCAATTCTAAGTTAGACTTTGATCACCCATTATGATCCCATCCTAATTTGTTAAACTTGGGGTCATGTTTTGAACAATTTGAATCTCCACTACCAGAGAATGCTTCCATTTAAATTACCAATAACAACTTTGCTATTCTCGAAAAGAAGGTTTTTAAATGTATTCCCTAAGTAATCATATGTTAAACTTTGATCACCTATATGTATAGGTTGGGGTAACTACACTATCTGTGAATGCTTTCAAAAATCTATGACCAATCATGGCTTTACAGTTCTTAAGAAGATTCTAAAAGATGTTTCCTATGTATTCTTACCCCCAGGATGATGACTTGAACAAACGTGAATATGCACTACCTGGGGATGCGTTTCATCTTTCCTGGCCCAGTGGTTTAAGAGAAGATTTTTTATAAGAAGCCATTTATTTACTAATTCAAAATTAACTCCCCTTGGGAGAGAGCGTGGTCCTTCATTTGAAAAAACTTAAATTCCCTTAAAACAAGGATACTTCGAAGAAAATTTGATTGAAATTGGCTTGTTGGTTCTTGATAAGAATAGATGTGAAAAGTTTATGACGACAACGATCACGACAAACAACCGAAAAATTATGCTCAGAAAAGGTCACTACAGTCTTCGGCTCAGGTGAGCTCAAATAAGGATTTTGTTGTTTTAATGTGTATAAATAAAAAAAATAATTAACTATAATCCAGATAATACAGAATATAAATGTGAGGAAGCTAAACCAACTCACCAGTATTTTCAGTCCGTGCCCAGTGATGTTTGCAGAGTTAAGCAAATTGAACACACTCGCAAAACTTAAATTGTTTTTAAAGATAGGACACGAGCTCTGCTATAGTTAATAATTACATTTCAGTGGGTGTGTTCAAATTGTTCGGAATTATTTCACATTGTGTTCAAATTGTTCGGAATTATTTCACATGCAGAGTATTTAACATGGTACCTTTTCAGTTTCATAAGCAGGTGAATCCTCGACATCACTAATGACAGTAAAATCAGTAGGTCTACCGTCCGAAATAACAATTATTCTTGGATGAACATGAAAGTCTCCCATTCTTTTCGTATGGCCTGTCAGGTGTATAACACAAAAGGTAATGGCACAAAAAATGATGAAAATGTTTCTTTTACTGCGGTTTGTACTGTATTTGCAGATTATATGTAATACTGTTTTACAAATATTATTACAGTTGTATTATTAAATAATAAAGAATTTATTTATTTTTATTGAAATATTATCCAAGGTCAAATGGTAAAGAAAACTTACCTACTTCACTGACTAAACACACCTTTGCTAAGGTTAATGCTGCCATGAGTGGAGTTAGTCCTCCAAATTCAACGTCATCTAAACAAAGAAGAAATTTTGAAATATCTTTCAGGGTATTGTGATTGAGTTAATGCGAATTTCTGTATTTCCAATTTTAACTACTGTGAAATCACAAATTTTCTTGGGGGTTTAATTTTCGTTGTTTTCGAGGTATGAGGAGACCCACGAATTCATGACCACCACGAAATGTAAAATGTTACATAAATTAGTACTTATTTATTCTTGATCCACGAAATCAAACCCCACAAAGAAGAGATTTTCCTCAAACCACGAAAATTTGACCCCACGAAAATATGTGATTTTACAGTATTTTTTTTTTTAAATTTTGCATCCAGAATCCATAGATCTTAATTCAAAAATATTAAGCAAAATATGGAGTTTTCGATAGTGCTAAATGCCTCCGTATGGAGACAATAATAACAAAATAATATAGGCATGATTCAGGAAATCTTGCTAAACAATTATTTTTATTTTTGTTACCTAAGCAATGTTTTATATCTGAGTAGTGATTTGAATAATAACGTTGGAATTTGGTGCTTCTTCCACATATAATAACAGCAACATTTTCGTCGATATCTGGAAAATTTGAGTATCTTAAAATAAAATAGTCCCCAAATTACTGCTTATCAATTCATTTTTTACAAAGTACTGATACATGTAGTTTTCTTAAATCAATTAAATTATGAAGAGAACTTCTCCATGTATAGCATTTATTAGAGCAAACATATAAAACAGACTTTACTGTATTATTTGCAGGTGCTTCAATAATAAAATAATACAGAGAATGAATATATGTCGATTCCTGGTATACAAAAGCTCAAGTTTTAGAATACAAAAAGACATCATATTTTGCACTTGATTGCTTTCTCCAAGTCACCAATACTGATTAAATAACATTGCATACAATATGGAATTAAAAAACATCTTTACCATCAATGATAGCGCAAAATGTTTCTTTCATTTGTTGAAACCCTTCTTGTCCAAGACTTGAAGATGTATCTAATATAAATATATTACATGGCCCTCTTCCATGATGATAGCGAGATTCATGATCTTGAAAAAATAAACATTTTCTCTCTTACGTACTGACTTCTTATAACATTGCATAAAACGATTGTAATGAAAAAAAATTGAAGTTCATAAAAAAGATTTATCAGCCTGTATTGTCAAAGCTTTTCATAGATACAAGTGAATAAACATAATTGCTATCTTTAAAAAATGTGAAGAAGTTCACAAGTTATGTATATCAATAAAATGTATTTAAATTTTTTACTTGCCCCCTGACATATGTTTGCGAATCTATGATGAAAATAATTCATTTCCATGAGAAATAATAATTCCTATTAATATGAAATTCTTTCTTTTCATGTAATTGTGTTCGAATAGCCTACTTTTCATAGCTTCATAAACAGCTTGGTCTTCCCAATAGTCTTGGGACTCTCTAAATCCGGAAGCCATCTACCTAGTAAAAGTGGAAAAAGGGGCACATTTAAATGTTATTGGTGTACATTATACGTTGACGTTGTTTCAAAGTGTAGTTAATTAAAGTTATAAATATACAGATCACAATCATAATCTTGGGTTTAAATCTTCATTAAAAAAAGAAACATTATGAAAAGGAGAATGTTATTTTCAACAAAGGACATTTGAGGTAAATGTAACGGTGCTTATAATCAACAAACTAGATGCTGTCATGAGACAGTAATACCCGCACTATGGTGTTTGCCTCTAAATACACACTCCTTGATATTGGACTTTCCAAGGAAGAAGTCAAAATAATTCTATAATTATCACCGTACATGTATTCGTCAAATTGAACATAAAATTTTCAGGTGACCATATGATCTATGAGCCTCACATATGTATTTTGAATACTTAATTCATTACCAGTCTGAAATAACAGAATTTAATTAATGATTGAAGTAAAATACTTAATTAGATTCAGATAAATATTTTTCCCATAATTTGGAACTTTTTAAATTTACTTTCTCAACGACATATTATTTTAGTACAAAGCGTTTTTGATGAATTTATCAAAATGTGCAAACTGATTTTAGTACTTGGTCGGGAAAAAAACCCATTGAAAATACAACCCAATTAATTTGTCAATGCCTATCTCTCTCCCCCCCCCCCCCCCCCCCCCCACCACCCACACACACACACACACTCTCTCACTCTCACATTTTTTAAAAATAGACCTAGATGGCAAAGTTATGTTAAAACATAGTTTATTATGAAAGTTTGAAATTTGTTCTTGTACTAAACAGTTTTACGTGTGAACATCTTATTTTCTACATTCACAGTGAATTTGCGTCACCCATTATCATATTTTTAGATATCACCTCTCGGCACACCTCGGCCGATTCATACTGGCAACGGAATCAGCAAAGGTTTGTCGAATGAGATTATTTAGCACATGTATGCTGACGATGCAGTGTGGTCAGTTAAAATCATTTGTGTTTTAATTGGATTATATGGATTATATTTCATGAATTCGTTGTAACGACCTATGACATTCGGTAAGTACAAGTTAGATTTAGTATAGATTGCATAAAAATAAATAAATGCAAATGGTTAGGTTGAAGTTCAAAAAGGGTCAAAGATATCGCATGCCACAGTCGACAAATTTCACATTGTCAAGTTATCTCCCGTTGCGGACATTCAGTATATACAGGCGCAGATCCAGAATTTTTTTTTCAGAAAGGGGGGGGGGGGGCTGTCACACCTCAGTCAAAAAAATCAGCCCAAGATTTCCTGAGAAGCAAATAAAAAATAATAATAAAAACAATGATGGTGGAGTCCCTGTTTTCTAAGGGGGAGGATGTCCAAAGTCATTTTTATTCTCTACAGTACTACAGTACATAGTCTTATTTAAATAACTGCTAATTCCAGGGGGGGGGGGGGGTGTCTGATCTCCCTAGCCACTGACTCCCTGTACCTGAAATGACAATTGATCTTATGACTCCATAATAGTAGAAAATTTTTTCATTTGACTATATATACATATTTTGTTTCCTATGTTTATGTATGTTTGTCTGTCCACAGAAACTTTAACCTTGCCCATAAGTTTTAAGTGGATTTGGCTATACACATGGCTTCAATATTTCATAGGTTAATTTCTTTTGGCAAAACCTTTTAATGGGTACCACCAATTTTGACCTCTTGATCTCTTGACCTTGGAGTTTGACCCACTTTTACAAGAAAAATTCTTTAAACTTGGCCTAAGTTTTGAACAGGTGGTACTAGGACTTTCATGCTCTAACATGTGTAATCATTGTGAACTTTAAACAGGTATAATTATTTTTGACCTAGACCTTAGAGTTGAACCCAATTTAACTTTAACCTTGGCAATAACTTTTGAACAGGTGAGGAAGTTCTAGGGATTTCTCTCTTTTTTCACATGTGTATTCCTTGTGACAAGACTTTCCCTTTGATACCCTTTGACCTTGACCTTGGAGTTTGACTTACATTTGAGAAACTTCAACCTTTGCCAAAAGCTGCCATAACAGTTGCTGTCACAACAAACAAACAAATTACTAAAAAAAAAACAGTATACATGTACATATTTTATATTCAACAGATATACATCTGGTCATATCTCTAGTTCTCCCTTGAATGAGACATAGTGATATAAATTTTAAAAAATAATTATGATAAGAGTTGAAAAGGTTGTGCATATTAAAATATACTAAGATATACTAATTAGATATACCAGTTTAGATATACCAGTTTAGCTTAATTTTGCTACCCAAAGCACCTTGATTAACTATTTATAAGCATACTGTTTTCTGAAATGTACTGATTTCTGTTGTCCATCTGTTTGTCTGCAAACTTTTCACATTAACTTCTTAAGAACCACTGGGCCAATTTCAACCAATTTACATTTAAATATGCAGGGGACTTTTTCCAACATAAATCTTCTTCTCAAGAACAGCAAAGACATTTATTGTCCCCCATTTTCGCTAAGGTAGGGTACATTAAATCTCATTTGTTTGTCAATCTGCCCATCTGTCACAATAAATTTAACCTTGCAATTGGTCATCATGGTCGTATATTTTGAATAAGAAGAGACAGGACTTTTATATTAAACATGTGTATTAGTATTAAATGGGACAATACCATTCTAAATACACTATGATTTTTATTACCCATGACCTTGAAGTTTGACCTAATTTCATAAACAAATTAATTGCTTTGAATTAATCATTTTGAAAGATAAATGAAAGGGCATTCATATTACCTGTGATAAGACCTTTCCAAATGTATCGTGACTTTTTGACTCTGTGACCTTGACCTTGAAGTTTAACTTAGTTTTCATTAATGTTGTATTTCCTTTTCATTGAGAAGAGATTCGACTTTCACATTTCAAGTGAACATTACCCATAACAAGATGTTTCCCAACATGCTATGATTTTTTACCCCTTGACCTTGATGTTTTAACAAAATTTCAAAAGAGTGAACTCTCCCAAAAGAGGATAAGACCACTGTTTAAAACGAAAAAGGAGTTTAGGGAAGACTGGGCTTTTTCAATAAAAAACGTCATTTTTCGACCCTCATTTCACCCCCCGGGCAAAATCAAAATTCCAAAACCTAACTGCACATCTACATGACCCCACCAACCATCTCCCAAAAGATGATTAGGCTGCTGAATAAAATGTAAGAGGAGTTCAGGGAAGATGGGGCTTTTAGCATAAAAAACGTCATTTTTCGACCCCATTTGACCCCCCGGGGCAAAATCAAAATTCAGAAACCTTACTACACATCTGCATGACCCCACCAACCATCTCCCAAAAGATGATTAGGCTGCTGAGTAAAATGTAAGAGGAGGTCAGGGAAGAAGGGTCCTTTTGCATTAAAAAAGTCATTTTTCGACACCAATTTGACCCCCCAGGGCAAAATCAAAATTCCGAAACCTTACTGCACATCTACATGACACCACCAACCATCTCCCAAAAGATGATTAGGCTCCTGAGTAAAATGTAAGAGGAGTTCAGGGAAGACGGGGCTTTTTGCATAAAAAACATCATTTTTCGACCCCCATTTGACCCCCCGGGGCAAAATCAAAATTCCAAAACCTTACTGCACATCTACATGACCCCACCAACCATCTTCCAAAAGATGATTAGGCTGCTGAATAAAATATAAGAGGAGTTCAGGGAAGATGGAGTTTTTTGCTTAAAAAACGTCATTTTTCGACCCCCATTTGACCCCCTGGGGCAAAATCAAAATTCCGAAAGCTTACTGCACATCTACATAACCCTACCAACCATCTCCAAAAACCTGGTTAGGCTGCTGAGTAAAATGTAAGAGGAGTTCAGGGAAGACGGGGCTTTTTGCATAAAAAACGTCATTTTTCGACCCCCATTTGACCCCCCGGAGCAAAATCAAAATTCCAAAACCTTACTGCACATCTACATGACCCCACCAAACATCTCCCAAAAGATGATTAAGCTACTGTGTAAAATGTAGGTGGAGTTCAGGGAAGAAAAGTGTGACAGACGGACGGACGGACGGACGGACATGAGTAACAACAATATACCCGAACTTTCTTTAGAAAGTGCGGGCATAATAAAGTTATAACAAAAATGTTAAGTATTAGGTAAAGGAAGATAATTTTTTAAAAGCATATGCACCTACATCCTAATAATAAAAGATTGGACAATTAAATTGAAAATATCGGACACTAAAATTGCTTGTAATAAAAGAAAAAAAAATTAATTTTAAAAAATATGATTTGCATATTTGAACAAGCTATAATGTTTTCAAAATTTAGAAGAAAAAAAATCTAACCTTGAGAGATGCTTTTATATCTTGTGAAGCAAAATGTTTTTCCTCATTTTTATTTTCCTGATCCAGTCGTTTTCATTTATTTAAATCAAATCAACACTAAAAACTGTTTTTTTATTGCATTGTAATGAATTATTTAAAAGAAAACCGGAAACGCAGTCCATAAATAAAAGAAATTTATAATTAAATATGAAATATCAGGAATCAAATATTGTATAAATATAGAGATCACTAGGTGTTTCAATGTCTTTGACATATTAACATTGTTTGGTCATTATTTCATGATTTTTTTTACTGTCATAGAATACATCTGAGACAATCCTATGTTATTCGATATACCTTTTGACATTGGTATAAATATCGACAAATAGTGAAAAGTACTACTGAAATCGACAAATATCGAGTCATACCAAAGGATGGAAAATCACAATCATGGAGCATGTAGAAAAATAATATTTGCATGGATCTGACACTTAAAGTAGACAATAATGTGATATTTATTGAGAAACAAAAAAGTCAAACAAGTCTTTATTTCTTTTCCAAACGAGAAACAGAAATATTTATGCTAAGATAAGATTAGACATGTGTAGGAGTACAAATTGCAACGAAAAATCTTTTAGACATATTATACACTCAAGGGGAATACTTCCCTGTCGCGGGTTTGATAAAAG